TTTTTATTGTTGTTAGCATAACTTGCAAATAAACATACATTTTATATTTTAAAAAGTTTTTAAAATATGCTATATAATATATAAAAACTAATATATATAAAACTTTCAAATATAAAATGAATATTTTTTTTATGCCGGTGTGCATCAGCGAATCTGCTGACGGACACCATGCTGCTTTGTCACGGGAACATGCCAGCTGAAGATAATGAGGAAATTACATCGCTCCCTTTGCCAAGTGCATTCCAAACAACTACATAATGGCACGCGCGTGCCCTGCTCACTCCAAAGTCCCCACTCCAAGGAGATAGGGATGATCACTTCCATTTGGAATTTGCCTCGTGATCCATTCGGTATCGATACTCATACCGGCACACCCCTAATTCAAAACAAGTAGTACACTTGTTTTCTTTCATTTGCCATTAATGTAATGACAAACTTCAAAAGTTTTTAAAATGTTAGAATATGCTTGAATATGCACTCACGTTTAAAATTTGACCACAATACGCTTCCTTTGAATTAGTGTTTGAGTATTTTTTCTGTTGTCTGTTTGTATTTCCCTTTGAAGGTCTCACCACACTTTAGATATAGAATAAAAACATGCTGCAGAATTCTTAAGTGGCATTATGTAGGTTCTAAGTTGCTAGGGTGTTTCTGGGTGGTTTCTAGGTGGTGGCTTACTAGCCTAAGTCAAAAGAGCCACCCCAAGTCTCTATAATATTCTGGTCAGGCCCTTTCTTTCATGCAAGTCTTTGCTTGCCTTCGCAAACACCACTAATTGTGAAACTAGTCTATTTAACCTCTGGAATTCAAGATAATAAAGTCGTTTTTAATGGAAATTGCTAAATAACCACATTTAGGTCTTACATGTGCGGTTTTCTTTCCCCGTGGGCACTTGTGCTTATGAAAAATTGTGGCAGTCAGAGCTCAGTTGAGCAGTTTTAAAGGGTTTTAGGGGCCAGTCGGACCTCACAGGCCCTGCACACATTCCTCACGCCTGTCTTTGAGCCGCGTCCACAAACACCCCTCGTCATCTTCACCTCCCTTTTCATCCCCTTCTACAGTTTGAATATATGCAGGGCTCTGGACTGCGACTGAATTGTCGCATTTTGCACCCTATTTTTCTTGTTGGTATGATTTATTATAGCGTTTGCACTGGTACCACAACCATTTGACCAACTGATAACCGCTGTCATATCTGTTGCATATGAGAAACTTTAAAGGGCAAACGGGACAAATATGGATTGAAAAGGCTTACACGTTTGACCATCAGCTCAGGCTAGAAGACAGCGCAGGGCAAGCTTGGAGCAAATGCGTTTACTTGCTGACCGGTCTCAACCACATGGCCAGTATTAAACAGCGCTGTGAGATCCAGTAAAAAGCGTTCGGGTTCACTGCAGATTTCTCCACAAACCACTAATGGCTTAGTGATTTAAACTAGTTTAAAGCCAGATGAATCAGCGCTGACATTCTCAACAAACTGACACAGAAAACACTGTGCCACAATAATCCAGAAGGCTTTTCTATTCACAAAACACTAGTCTGTAACACTAGACTGTAGCCATGGTGCCAGAAATGTGAGGATATTCATATCTAATTTTATTTTTTTTTTAAATTATGTGGACGTATTAAATGAGTAATGGAATTTAAGTATTTTTTGTTATTAAGCTGTAGTGGGTTTTGTGCATTTGTATTTATGGGTCAAAGACAAAAAGGGTTTCAAGCACCAAAACAGTAAAAGTTTAATACGGATTAATTTTTTTCGATATACATTAGAATGTGTCCTGTTTAATTAGCAAAAAAATAATGACATAATCATACATTTTTTTCCATGATTTACAGAAGACACCTAGTAAAATTGTCATACAGTGTAACAATAGTTCATATACCAAAAAATCTTTTCAGGCATATTTAGAACCTGAATCGTTAGATGGCATTAAAAGGATCACAGTGCAGACCCAACAACTAATAATTTGTTATTTTACATCTTTACCAATTTTTGTCACTGTCCTAAAGACCAAAAGGTTTTACCCATTTGGCAACAAGTTAAAAATATAATAAAATTTAGTACGATCACTTAGGGGTGGGCGATATGGGAAAAAATATCATATCACTGTTTTTTTTTGTTTGTTTGTTTGTTTTTTTAGA